GATTTTCCCCGGCTACTAAGAGAGTGGCCCCCGGCTACTTTTATTGGAAAATAGAAGAAAAATAGAACCAAAAGAAATCCCTAGCCGTTTGATTCCCCGCCTGCTTGTTGTATTTACCCGGCAACTTGAAATCTTAGTGACAACCCTGACCAACTGATGATCACATCTAAGATTTACAATGCATTTGTGAATCAGATCAGATCCTGACACGTTAAGTTCAATAGCAATTATGAGTGTTTTCTCATTGAAGATGATGTGAACTGCAGAAATACAAATTTTAAATGAAGATACGATTGTCCCAATGGTAAGTCCCAAATTTTTTTTTCAGGTGAATTTGCAATGCTTAAACTGCAATTACCACTATGACAATCATATCTTCATTTAAAATTTGTTTTCTTATTCTTGTCTTAAGTTAATTCAGTGCTTGCATATTCCAGGCCCGGGACTGTGAATGTAGGATAACTGTGTCCAACACAAACTGCCATCAGTTTTGTCATACATTTTCCTTGTAAGATAGCTCAGACAAGCAACCAAAACCAGTGCTCAGCATTTGCTGTCATCAAAAATGAAATTCAAAGCAACAAGAAGCCAAGAGCGTTTACCAAACTTTGCCCTAACTGCCTATTTTGTATTGCCAACTGTATTTCCTGGCATTTGATTGGTTCAGACCACCTCTCCCATCTTTCTTAAACTGGACAGTTTACCTATTTTTATCACTAAATCTATCCAAATTAATCCTTAATGGACAGTTGATGAAAATTAAAGGATAATAGCTTTGCTGACAATATTGCATCAACTGCCAGATATATAATTAATGCAAAAACCCAATTGCAGGGCATAAATAGGTGTGCAAATGACCCTTCCTCAGGTAAAATCACTGTCGTCTGGTTAGTGTTCAGTAAAGGCAATAATACTTCATATAGAACACAGAGCTCTGAGATACCGAATCTTAATAATATTGTATTTTAATTTTCCCTCTTTAAAGTAGCCATTACAACTTCACGCCGATTTAAGTGTGTATTTCAGAAATGGGCATAACCGCTGGATTTTGTACCCTGAAGGCTCAGTTTATTCCTCCGGACTTTCCCTTCGACAGTGTTCGTTTTGACTCGGTTCAAAGAAGGTGAGATTTTATGGCGGAAGACTCAGAAGCGAATTCAAAGGAATTGAACAATGGCTTAGTTAAGCTGCCCAGGGCCACGAAGTTTTAAAGGTATCCTTTTGTTCTAAATGTGTCAATAAAACTGCAGAGAATTATCGCACATATCGCGGTAGAAGTTTATGGATTTAAGTCTTTAGCAAAACGTTTTCGACTTGGGTACGTATTTTTCAAAAAGGAGAGTTTTGAGAGCTTCAAAAAGAGATCTTGAACGAGAAATTTCGACCACTGTAGACCGAGATTGGATTTTTTTTCTTGCCGAGGTTTCAAAGTACAAAGCAAGCCGCTGAAGCATTTTTTCTCGCCTATCGCTTAATAAAATCCGGCCGGCCGAGAGTTATCCATTCATTCAATCATAACAGTTATTCATTTCTCCAGAGCAATCAAACTATACAAGCGTTTCTACGAAATTATTTCGAGGAATTATGAATTCCGCAAGTTTTGATCTGTCGATTACAGTTTTAGATATTTCCTGTCTCACTCGATTAGCTCCGCGAATCAAGTTGTCATGCAAATCGGTGAACTGACAATACGCGGTTATTTCGGGCCCTGCAGTCACGTAACTGAAACGCAAGGTTTTTTTCAACAAAAAAACTGAAAGGCAAGCGAAAACGTCCAAAAAAGTGAAATTACACGCTGATAAATCTGTGTCATCCCGTTAAATGCATTTACCGCTTGCGTTGTTTACATTTTGAAGAGAGTTGTTCGCTCTTGATTGCAGAGCGTAGGTTTTGATAATACTGAATGAATAAAACGTTCTAATAGATAAATACCTTGCGCAGCAATTCTTTAAACGCCAAATTATTTTCAAGGCAAGGGAGTATTTAATAAAAAAAATACCATAGGAGACCAGGTATTTATAAGCTTATAAGCTTTATAAGCAAATTTAACAGGCAAGTCCGAGTATTTTACTGGATAAATTTAATACTCATCAGGTAACAATGGGGATTAAAAGGTCAATCAAGCAACAAAATTCGAAACAAAAGAGACATATCGCACCTAAATCAAAGGAATTCCGCTCGTGGATTCTTCGGAAGGTAATCGACAATGGCAAGAACAATAGCCTGAATATTTGAATACTTGATAACCCCAAAATTTGGGGTACACACTTAAATCGGCGTGAAGTTGTAATGCAGAAAACAAGAAATTCATAAATGACAAATTCTCCACCCTCAGGCAGACCTTTGATGACAAATGCACCACCGGTGAAACATTGCACTTTACACTTTACAACTGCCAGGGGGATGGAACTGCATTATAAAAGTAGTCTGAAATTTGTGCAAGCATAATAAATGAATGGGGTGATACGGAAATCTTACCTAGTTTAGCGCTTTTGTCAGTTAAGTTTCGCTGTACTAAGAGTTGTATTTGGCCTTCAATGTGGCAGGGGTATTTTGCAGAGCGCAGAACGCAGAACGCCTAAAGACTCTGAAGTTTGGTGATAAGGGTTAGGAAACTGAGTGAATCAAGTTTCAGGTCAGTTTTGCCAGTATAATGACCCTAAATGGAACCTGATTCACTGAGTTTCCCAACCCTAATCACTAAACTCAGAGTCATTCCTTGTTCTGCATTCGGCGTTCTGCAAAATACCCCTCCCTTCAACTGGTTCAGCAGGAAGACACGTCTTGTTATTGTTTATAACTATGGTTTGACCAGCGTGTTTGGCTTTCAGTATCTCCAGAAGTTTTACGTTAAAAAGAAAGAGGAAAAGACTAATTCCAATGTGATGAAACAACTTACCTCTAGAATAATTGAATAAGGAAGCTCTCGCTGGTACAGTGTAAGTTCAGAAGTCGTCTGTGTACATGTAACACGAATGTATTGGTCGTAGGGCTTACATCAAGCAGTAACCACTGTAGCTCGATCCCAGTGTTTTTCTCTCTCATTACTGAGGAAAGGGGTGAACCCTGGGACGAGGATGCACCACAAACGAAAAAGGATCCTGAAAGTAGCTTGAGTAAAATCTCCTCTCCCCTAGCCCCTTAGGAAGGCCTGATACTCAGGCTATTACTGGGAGGACTAATGAAAGTCAAATTTCTACCCATGGGCGTGATCAGCCACGGTTATGTAATAAAGGAAACTATGTCGGTGATCCCAGCGGCACCTTCCATGTGAGAATGGGTTAGTTTGAGGGGTGATTTCCGCCAATATTAACTTTCAAATTTTGTTATGCCATTATCCTATGCTGTTATTCAGTTTTGTTAGGAATTCTTTTATGCATTTTGGAATCCTATTTTTCCCTTTCGAATTCTGTTATTCACTTTTCTGATTTTATTACGCCATTATGAATTCTTTAATTCAGTTTTCAATTCTGTTATTCGCTTTTGAATTCTGTTATGCAATTTTCCAATTCTATAATTCGATTGTACAGTCCTCTCATGCAGTTTCGAATCCTACTATTTCCTTTGAAATTCTGATATTCACTTTTCTAATTCTATTAGCTTATGCTTTTATTATCAGAGGTAGCCCAAGCTCACTATGAGAGCCCTGAACAACATTATCCTACTTAGCTAATTAATTATTCATACAGCAAGAAAATTATAAGACGTTGTATGGAGAAATATTCTTTGCTCACTAAATTAGCAAAATGTACATTGAATATCGCTTTGAAGCTTACCTTTAGCGTCGTCTTGTTTTCCTTTGTATTCTGACTGCATCTCAGACCTCCTAGGCACTGTTTAAGCAATTGGATCGTTATTAAACCGAAGCAGAATTGGAAACCCGTGTTGGGTGGTTTACGGGGACCACGACCTAAACCTGCGTTATGAGGACCACTGCAAAAGTTGTTCGGCGTAATGTTTTTTGACGATTTAAGCCGATTAGGACAATAATATTTACGGGGGACCAGGTATCGGTCCTCACAACTACGGTGGTCCTCACAACGCTGGTGTGTAAACATATAATGGTCCTCGTAATTACGGATGGGCAGGCACAGCCCTACATAGCCCTACATAGCCCTACATAGCCATACACAGCCCTACATAGGCCTACATAGCCCTACATAGCCATACACAGCCCTACATAGCCCTACATAGCCCTACATAGCCATACATAGCCCTACATAACCATACACACCCCTTCATAGCCCTACATAGGCATACACAGCCGTACATAGCCCTACATAGCCATACATAGCCCTACATAGCCCTACATAGCTCTACATAGCCATACACAGCCATACAAAGCCCTACATAGCCCTACATAGCCATACATAGCCCTACATAACCATACACACCCCTTCATAGCCCTACATAGGCATACACAGCCGTACATAGCCCTACATAGCCATACATAGCCCTACATAGCCCTACATAGCTCTACATAGCCATACACAGCCATACAAAGCCCTACATAGCCATACATAGCTCTACATAGCCATACACAGCCATACATAGCCAAACAGAACCATACACATACATACATAGCCAAAGATAGCCATACACAGCCATACACAGCCCTGCATAGCCATACATAGCCATACATAGCCATACCTAACCCTACATAGCCCTACATAGCACTACTAGCCCTACATAACCCTACATAACCCTATAGATAGCCCTATATACCCTTACATAACCTTATATAACCGTACACATGTGCAGGAGTTCTGCATGGGTGACGTAGTGAAAAGTTTTTTGAAGTGCAGACAGAGCATGCATAAATCTTTTCTTTGTGATTATGAACGTAAAGGAAAGACGTGTTTTGCTGTGCGGTTTTTTGGTAAAAAAAAAGAAAAGCCAACTTGAAATTCAATTGTTACGCGTATTGAAAGACATGACATTTTTGAGAAGTCTTTGGTTTAAGATATCGAACACAGGTAGCTCAAGACAGACGGGTAGACGGAAATTTGCCGGGTCATTACTCCCGCTCGAATTGAGACCACCACATTAGGTCTGAGACATAGTACCTAGGGTAGGAATTGAATAATTTTTCATATACAGGCATCAAAGTGACAAGAATAGCTTTTACCATTTCACTTCTAATTTATCCGAAAATGGGCCGGGTTAAGAGATTCATTAGAATAAAGAGTTTGGAAATATTGCAGCCACTTTTTCTCTGAGATTGATAGGACACCCTTTCTCGTACATAACCCTACATACCCCGACAGATTCCAGGTATGACGAAATTCAGTACATACTGGGAGATTTGAATTGTAATTTTCTTTCAAATCCCTTGGAGATTCACACTACCCATCTATTGGACTTCATGGTTGAATATCAATTGGCACACTTCATCAAAGAACCTGCAGAGTTAATGCCAAATCGCATACTCGTATTGATGTATTTATTACATGTGCACCCTGGGGGTGACACTCTCATAAAAGTGAAGGGGATGCTCATCGTTTCCCTTAGTGATGTAAATTGCCGATTTTAGTGTCACTTAAAGTTATTTTCGACACTTTATTTGCTCATTAAGGTATCGCTTATGGCTGTGCATAAATAAATTCCGTGACACTGACCTATGGATGTCTGTTTTTGTATGGGAATCCACACCCTCTCTGGTCTCTTTAGGGGTTTAGTAATTTAACTTTCCCACAAGCACTAGGACCCCACATATCGATACACATCATCAGATCTTGATCGCTAAAACCCCGCATAATTGCGGACACCAATGGATGTGACTAAAAAAAGCAACTAGTGATTCCACACCTCGCTGTGCAATAGACCCTTCGTTGTTCATTCTATTCTTCACCTTTTTCATGAAGGGGCAAGTCCCCAAACTCCGTGTGCGCCTTTGAATTAGTTAAATCAGTCACTAGGTTTGAAAGTGATTTGTTGTAAACTAACCAAGATATAGCTTCTCAAAGTAACGAAATTTTAAGAAATTTTATGGCGAAATTTTAAATTTTATTTTGGGGGGGGGGGGGACGTGGGGAGGAGGCAAACTTATCCCCCACCATACAAACATGACATGTCACTTTCAAATTTGGCAGTCTTACTAACTTTGAGGCTTCTTTCTAGTAGTATTGACAGATTTTATCCTCACTGGTCCATGTCAAAAGTGGAAAAAACCGTTGAAAGGGCTATCCATGCACGTTCCACCCGGGATGCAAATTTTGACAAATATAAAAAATCATTCTCTGCGTGGTGCAACCGGAATAGAAACAGTGGATCGAGGGAGTTGAATCCGGCTGTTTTCGCTCTAATATAAATGGGCCCATGTCTGTAGCCTCCACCGTAGACGATCTTAGGGGGTTCGTCACGCGTTCCTCGGGCAGGAACGCATGACGAACCCCTAAAAACGTTTGCGGGGAGGCTACTATATCTGAGGCTGAGGGGGGTATTTCCACTAACTCAGAATTTAGAGACGTGGGCCGCCAGGGGTCGTCTCTGTAACGTTTGGGTTACGATTACTTTTACACAGCGTAGTTGTGACTCGTTGAAATGGAAAACAGGTTGTGGATAGTTATTTATAAAATTCGCCTTTGACAGTCAGACCACACACACTTTACTACTTGGGGTGGCAGAAGAACAAATCCAGACTTGCTTTATTTATCAGGTGCACCCAACGAGTGTTTTCGGCTAACTTCCTTCCCTATGATAAAATTTGGGCGGCAGGGTTTCTCATACGATTATTCTTGAGTTCAGATGGTAGGGAAGGGAACAGAGTGGGAAAAAACGGCGAGAATGAACGCCCAAAAGTGGCTTGACTAACCAACTCGGCTTTGAAAAGTTGCTTTATTATTGGTTTATTCAACAATCTAACTACTAAGTTGTAAAATAATAATTCTAAAAAACCGTTTGCGTATTGATCGATCCTGAGTGACAAAATATTGCCACAATCGTGCTACAGTTTCACAAAACATATCAACGTTTCTTCTTTGAAACGTCCGCTATAACGTTAGAAACATCCTCAGAAAAATTAAGGCATGGGCCCAAAATGATTCAGTGAAAAAAAGATGGGGGTGGTCTATCTCTGAGCACTTAAGCTCTGGAAAGATGAGACTTTGCCACATACATACATGTGTGGTTTCTGTCAATTTGGTGTTTTCCAATTACACAAATGTTGTCACGTGACTCCATACTGTCAGAAAACAATAAAAAATCTTTCAACAAAAATGGCAACACTTTTTGTTGTGAGTTATTAAACCGAACTGGTTTAGGATAATGTGTAATGTAAGCACCTACAAAACTGTGCTTGGCCTTTTTTGAATTTTTTACTGTTTTAGAAAATAATTGGTTTTTTCAACTAGACCCATTGGCCCAAGACATTTTTATCAGATCTTAACGCCTTCGCTTTTAAATATCTAAAAAAGGCCAAGCACAGAAGTGAAATATTAAACGGCCTTAACATTATGCAACCGGTAAAAAAGTTGAGGACACACGAAAAAGCGTTGCCTTTTCAAGAACAATCTTTTTCAGGCAATGGAGGTCACGTGACCTAATTAGCGCATTAAGTCGAAAAAAAAAAGACACTTTCAAATGGTATGAGGCATCACTCAAATAACAATTATAAAGGTGAACCTTTCTTAACAACTTTCTTAAGGTCGCCCGAAACTTTTTATATGCGCGTTGGTTATGTTTCTGAATAGCGTTTCTCGGCAGAAATGAATTAACCGATTTTCATGATTTTGGCATCCTTAATAAAGAATGGTCGAACTTTAAGAAAAGGTTATTTATTTTCTTGTAGGTATAAAAACGTTTGAGATATCGGCATATGGTTAAAACCCCATTTTTACGAAAAAATGTCAATTATTTCGAAACCCGAAGACGGACAGATAACCAACGCGCATATAAATAGGTTCGGGCCACCTTAACAAGTTCAACATGTTGTGGACTACAGATAGGTTTTTACTTTGATTGAACTATATCTTTTCAGTAGCTTTAATGAAATAGATGAGACGGCATTGGATCAACGTTTTTTTCTTTGTCTCTTTCCTGTGGAATAAAATATTTGAAATTAGTAAAGTGGCTACTTGAACATTAACAAAAGTAGGTACTTGTGGTATCAATTTATTGTTTAACAGCAAGGAGCCTAAAAGTGTCACCTCCTTCAATTAATTCACATTCTTCCATGCAGACATTAATCAATCAGAAGTCGAGGACAGTTTCCAGCTGGCTTCTGATTGGATTAAATCTGCACGAAAGAATGTGAATAAATTAATGCGGTCACTCTTTTGTCTTCTTGCTGTAGGTAAAAAATAAATCATCATCATCATCATCACCTCGATTAGGTTTGTAAAAGCCGGTTAAGCCACACACCAACCACTTACAAGATAAACATGAAAGTAAAAATTACATGCAACAATTAACAGATTAAAATAATAAAAATAATAGTCGACGATTAACCTGAACTCACGAGAACGTAAATTCTTTTCAACAAATAAAAGTGCTGGTCAAACAAAAGCTGAGGTTACCTGTTTGAACTCCAGGATGCTGAGCATATGCCAGAGACGAGACTTGGCGACTACCTGCCATGGATTCAAGTATAATATTCTGAGATATTGATTCTATTTCATAGCTTTTGTGGATGCTTGCTGTCTTTTATTTCCACTACTTTTGATAGAGCCATTCGACCGAGAAGAAAGTGCATATGGTTGCAGTTACTTATAAATACGGTTTTAAAGTAGGCAATGGAAGGAGTGTGTTCTGAAAAGTCTTGTTGCTTAAGGCTAAAAAAAGCAATTTAAAAATAAAGAACAGAAGATAGAGTAAGCGAGGAAAATGAAGACATTTGAACCAAGGTACAGTTACCCCACCCAAAAACAAATTACCTTTTCTCTTTCCCTTTTGTTTCTTCCTTTCCTGGTTGTTAGAATCTTCTGCTATTGAAAGTAAGGCATGACGTTAACGTAAGTTGGTATTTATGGCCTCATGGTCATTAGCCTTAAAAACGTTTAACTGCTTTGGCATGCGTTATACAAGCATTTCGTAGGACAGCACATTTTATGACATAACAATACAGTAACCACAATGACGCCAATTAATTGATTCACTATATTATATATGTCAAAGAAGGTTTAAAATATCGGCGTGTAATCTCGAAAAATATAAGTGATCAAAACCCATAGCGAACCCAACCCAAACCGACAGGAGGTTAATCACAAAAGTCTGGTGTGACTGTACCTAACAAATGAAATGAAACCCTGCAAATTAGGGCTGTTAACATAACCCGGGTCGATCAAACAGCGGAAAAATACGATAGTGAGGATCCATAGTTGGCTTTACCTTGAGTTGCAGCTCGTAGTAACAATTCCTCATCCAACTCCTAGAGACAAATATATGCATTAAATTAAATTACACTGTACTCCACTACACCACAAATGCAAGGTAATTATTAACATTCTTGCTAGCAAGAAACAAGAGTGTCTTAAGTGGATATATTAATACTGAAACTAGTTGCAGAATCAAAATGTAGACATTCTAAGGCCCGGTTCAGACGCGCATCTTTTCACGAGCCGAACCTAATACAATGAATTAAGTACATGAATAGAGAATTCTCCCAACCCCTCGAGTGTTTACATTAGGCTATGCAAACACAGGAAATAAGCTTTCCATTGCTTTTATAAAATAACTTTCCCGAGAAAAAACGCAATACTCTTTGTACGGCACTGATTAAAAGATAAATTCTTACCAGTCGCAAAGTCTTGTCCACGAAGTGTTGCACGTGTAATCAGTTTTCGTTTTGCAAAAAGATGCTTTCTAAAATACGGATATTTCTCGCTTAAAATGTCAGCTTAAGCGAAGAGAAATTGACACACCTTCTTTGTAAGGATTTTCCAAGTTTCAGGCGACGAAGAAATGGGTAACTAAAGTAAACTTGTCGAGTTTTGAACTGCAAAACTTTTTGAAATTCGTGCCTGCAAGATAACCGCGTGAAAAGCGAAACATCTTGTCCCCACAATGATGTTTACATACTCTCACGCAAACACTACTCTCGCCCAATCAGAGCGCGCATACTATCTTAGTTAGTTTATAAATGGCTATGTAGGGCTGTCTATGGCTATGTATGGCTGCGTATACTAGGGCTATGTAGGGCTATGTATGGCTGTGTAGGGCTATGTATGGCTATGTAGAGCTGTGTATGGCTATGTATGGCTATGTAGGGCTATGTATGGCTATGTAGGGCTATGTAGGGCTATGTATGGCTGTGTAGGGCGATGTATGGCTGTGTAGGGCGATGTATGGTTATGTAGGGCAATGTAGGGCTATGTAGGGCTGTGTATGGCTATGTAGAGCTATGTATGGCTATGTAGGGCTATGTATGGCTATGTAGGGCTGTGTATGGCTATGTAGAGCTGTGTATGGCTATGTATGGCTATGTAGGGCTATGTATGGCTATGTAGGGCTATGTATGGCTGCGTATGCCTATGTAGGGCTATGTAGGGCTATATATGGCTGTGTATGCCTATGTAGGGCTTTGTAGGGCTATCTATGGCTGTGTATGCCTATGTAGGGCTATGTAGGGCTATGTAGGGCTATGTATGGCTGTGTATGGCTATGTGTGGCTATGTATGGCTATGTAGGGCTATGTATGGCTTTGTGGGGCTATGTGAGTGGGTGTGAGTGAGTGAAAACTTTATTTACCCACGGTAATTTTATCAAATAACTTTACACAAAGCATCTGGTCTACCTAAAAGCTGTGCGTTATTTAACTTACATAAAGATATAGATATATATCTAAAAACTAAACTAAGAAAGATCGTACACAATGTTAAACCTAATGATAAAAAAACTTAAATTATGAGCAAATACGACCTGATGTTAGCCTTAAATTGTTTTAAAGAAGTCTCTTCCTTTAAACTGGAAGGAAGAGAATTCCAGAGCTTAGCGCCTGCAGAAGCAAAACTATTCCTAAAACAGTTTGTTCTTGCTTTTGGCACTATTAAATTCATTCCAGAAGAGCGAAGGTCATAACTGAGCCGGCTTGTATTAACGTCAAACATGTCAGACAAATAAGAGAGACACAGGCCATGATTTACTTTAACCATCATTAACGCCATATGATGTTCATTTATGCTCATGCCGAATATCAGCTGAATGTTTCGAGTATGAAGCACCTGTAATAACACGAGCGGCCCTATTTTGCAACTTTTGAAGACTGTCTACCAACGTTTCGCCAATGCTATCCCAAACAATACAACAATAGGTAAAATAAGGCTCAACTATTGACCTGTATACGTTTATGAGGTGCTCCAAACCAACAAAAGGCCTAATCCTCTTAAGAATTCTAATGCCACACCCCACCCTTTGTCTGACACTTTGTAAATGATTTCTCCAAGTAAGAAATTGGTCGATAGTGAGACGAAGACACTTTGTACTTTCGACCTGTTGTAACGTTAAACCATTCACACTTAATGAAATATTTCCAGCTAATGTTGCAATTCTCTGCCGAGAACGTATCACCATAAAATCTGTTTTTAGAATATTCAATGTGAGTTTATTTGAGCTGAGCCAGTTAAAAATTCTGTTAAGGTCGTTGCTCATTTCAGTCTGAAGGATTGATAAATCCACGCAAGAGAACGTTAAATTTGTATCATCAGCAAATGACCTTCCTATACTATAATCTAAGCAATTTGGTAAGTCATTAATGTAAATAAGAAACAAGAGTGGGCCTAATAATGAACCCCGTGGAACGCCACACACGATACGATTTTTTACAGATGACAAACCGTTTACCACGCAAAATTGCTGTCTGTCTTTTAGGTAAGACTTGAACCAAGAAGCTGTTTGACCCTGCACCCCATAGTCAGACAGTTTTTTCAACAAGATAGCATGGTCAACAGTGTCAAATGCCTTCTTAAGATCAAGGAGAATAACACCATTGACCAGACCTTTATCAATATTAAAGGGGCTATGTCAGCTGGAGAGCATGCGCTCTGAGGTTATGCAAATTACTTTCAAATGTCAAAATTCTATTGTTTTGAACGCGTGACTTTCTCCAAGTGCGCTCTGAGGTTATGCAAATTACTCTCAACTGTCAAAATTCTATTGCTTTTAACGCGTGACTTTCTTCATGTTCTCTGTCACGTCCAAGGTTCCGAATTTAGAGAGGTTAACAAGCGAAATGGGTTTAGATAAGGGATATTTCGATAGAATTTATGGAACGTTTCTTCTCTGGTTATGCTAGATCAAGAATAAAATTGTGACGACAATTTTACTTGTAGTTTTGAAGTAAAAACGCATGCCATTCATAAAATAGAGCGCAAACAAAAATTCAACAACAACATATTGTCTTATTCAACAAAATAAATGGAAGTTGTATTTTACAAACGAGCTACAAAAGACGCTAGACCGAAGATAAAGACCAAGACTGTTTCAAATCATTAACAATTAGACTTGTCTGTCGCTATTGATTTTATAATTTAGATGCTGATAGAACAAAAGACCAAGTCTTTGTTTTGATCTTAGGGAAACATACATTATCGCGCAAAATTGTTCGATCGTGCCGAATCACTGCGACGTCGAGAAAAACAGAACCCAGCATCATTGGTATACTACTCCACTATAAGCAGTCCGTTGATAAAAAGGGAAAGTAAACTCTGCTATTTTCCAAAATTATGCTCGAACACAAACAGTTCAAAAACATGGCATTTACAGGATCTAACTCGTACTAAGGTGCCTCTCTAAGTCCGTTGAGAACAATCTGGACGAGCAAACGGTCGTGTTTATCTTTGCCGTGAATCGAGATAAATACAAGAAGGAATCTAGCCGAATTTTGGAAAGTTTCCTTCGTCAGGAGTTTAGTTTCGTCACGAAACTCATGGCCTGATGCTCTTGTAATCGTTTACAAAAAACGGCCGCCGCCAACTCGATAGCCGCTTCATTATATGTCCACATACTTTGAGCACAAGAAAAATCCAAGAGCCAGCAGCCTCTAAAATAACTCAATAGAAAGGTCCTGTGAACTATAGGGAAGATTCCATCAAAGATTCCATCACTCATTGTGGAGTAGCCGTCATTAACTCTGCCATTACAACGGCCGCTGATGAGAGGACACAGTAAATCCACGTAAAAACATTCCACAGGCAAACAATTTTAAAATAACGCCAAAAAATTGTTCTGTAATCACCATAGAACGATTCTTAATACAAAATTTCGCTAACTATCGAACGATGGCTGAGATTTAGACAGATAAAAACAGCCTTCCAAAATCTCCGACACAACTTGAAAAAGTTGGGCCGTCTTTTTCAAGTTTGTTTTCGTTGGTTCGCGCATGCGTGTTGGGTGACATAGCCCCTTTAAGACACCACTGATTTGTCATATCTAGAAGCGCAGTCACAGTTGAATGAAGAGATCTAAACCCAGATTGAAGAGGCTGAATAAGGTTATTTTCCGTAAAATAGGCGTACATCTGCTCATAAACTAATCGTTCAAAAACTCTGGCTATAGTTGGTAAGACAGAAATCGGTCTAAAGTTATTTGGATCATTTCGTTCACCTGATTTAAGTAGTGGAAAGACCTTTGCAACTTTCCAATCATCTGGAAAAGAATTTTTGTAGTAATCGAGAGGTTGAAAAGATCAGCTAACGATAAAGAAATAACTGGAGCCGCTATTTTTAAAATCTTGTTTGGGATGTTATCATGACCGGTCGCCCTTGCAACATTTACTTCCTGCAGTTTTTTAAACACGTCAGAGATCGTGACTTCCTTCAGTTCAAAAGAAAAATTAACGTGCTGTTGGGAATCAGCTGGATTTACATCACAATCCACCGTAGGGATTTAGATGCAAGTTTCGGCCCAACGTTTTACATAGCCCAATGTATGGCTATGTAGGGCTATGTATGGCTGTGTATGCCTATGTACGGCTATGTATGGCTATGTACGGCTATGTACGGCTATGTATGGCTGTGTATGCCTATGTAGGGCTATGTAGGGCTATGTATGGCTGTGTATGCCTATGTAGGGCTATGTAGGGCTGTGTATGGCTATGTAGGGCTGTGCATGGCTGTGTAGGGCTATGTAAGGCTATGTATGACTATGTATGGCTATGTAGGGCTGTGTATGGCTATGTAGGGCTATGTAGGGCTATGTATGGCTATGTAGGGCTATGTATGGCTATATAGGGTTATATGTAGGGCTGTGTATGCCTATGTAGGGCTATGTAGGGCTATGTATGGCTGTGTAGGGCTGTGTATGGCTGTGTATGGCTATGTAGGGCTATGTATTGCTATGTATGGCTATGTATGGCTATGTAGGGCTGTGCATGGCTATGTAGGGCTATGTATGGCTATGTAGGGCTGTGTATAGCTATGTAGGGCTATGTAGGGCTGTGTATGGCTATGTAGGGCTATGTAGGGCTATGCATGGCTATGCAGGGCTGTGTATGGCTATGTATGGCTATGTACGGCTATGTATGGCTGTGTATTGCTATGTAGGGCTATGTCGGATCATGTAGGATTCCGTACACTGCTACTGGTAACTAACGGGGAACCACTATATGATGCTTACAGCACGTACCTACCGAGCAGGAATAATGTCAACCGCTGACCTTAATGTTTTTCAAGGAAGTTATCGAAAGTTACATCGCAAGTTGATGTTGAGTTGTGAAGTATCGAAAATAGCTGACATGATAGTTGCGACTACTTTGCCAGATCACTTACATTTTTACTGTATTTACTTGATTAAGGCAAGAATTACAACAAAAGAGAAGTTATAAAACGTTGAAGGTCTTAAATTGCGAAAAAATACATTTTCGTTAAAAAATCCAATATGGCTACCGGTTGCCAGGGTTTGCTTGGCTTGGCTTCAAAGGGTTAATTAATTAACTAATCAATTAATTAATCAACGACTAGCGAGACCTACTAGCGCAAATTCAGGCGGTGTCTTCACTATACCAGATAGCTTTTAATTTCATGTCGAGATTAAAAAACTAATCGGTTTCAGTATGAACACCTGTTCTGACAGCGCCAAACAGTGGCACAGAAACCTATACGATATGTGACGATCGACTGTCAACACCGGCGCAGCGCAGCTTTGCCCTGTTACAGAAACGGTGCCAAAATAAAACCACCGTTCTCATGCGTGAACAAAAGCCCTATCCGTTGTGTTTTTCGTGCAGGCGTAAGAGCTATACGATATACTGTAGATACAGCCTATCTCTAGTTATGATCAGGTTTCGATGATTTGCTTTTAATTCGAAACAGTTATCGCAATACACGTACTCTGAATAAACGAAAAAAGCAGTTTCCTGGTTCCTATCAAGAATTCAACTTTGATCACGGGAGCTAAGTTAATTCTTCTTCCGTTACCTTGACAAATGGATGAGTAAGCAGCTCTTTACAATTGGGACGCTCTGTAGGATTCCTAGAGAGACAAGATATCAATAAGTTGACTGTTTTCTGTAACCAACACCAACTACCGACCAGTTGGAGTGAACACGCTCCCATGTAAACTGAAATGAGGCGACTTTGAGCTTCAACTAGCAACTAGACTAGACTAGACTAAAAGATAAAGGAAGGTTGAGAGGGGAGGAACTTCCACTTTTACAGTAACCGCGGAAGCAAGGCGATATTTCCCTTTCATTCCCCTCTCCCCCGCCGACCTTTTACTCCTTTAAAATAACTCTCTAGATACGACAATGCTAAAAAGTGCGATACCAAAAAAGGTTCATCTAAAGACACTTGACGTTCTCTGTTTAATTTCTGCACCATTTCATTGCGGCCGACCCATCCTCGGAGACGCAGGGGCAGATAGTGGGGGCGAGGGAAAGTCTAAACGGGCGGAAAAATATGGCACGAAGAAAAGTAAAGAACGGCGAGAGGATCCCCTGGGGACAATGTCTTACCAGACCAGTTCCAAACGGTCGCCGCCGTTCTACCTTCTGATTGGGCAGAAAAACACAAAAGTTTTCTGGCACCAATCGGAAGTCAGAACGGCGGCGACCGTTTGGAACTGGTCTGGTAAGACATTGTCCCCAGGGGCTCTTCTCGCCGTTCTTTACTTTTCTTCGTGCCATATTTTCCCACCCGTTTAGACTTTCCCGCGCCCCCACTATCTGCCCCTGGGTCTCCGAGCATGCGGCCGAGTAAGAGGAGCCCACAATCATAGCGGAGTTTCACGCACGCGTCTGATTGGGCAGAAAAACACAAAAGTTTTCTGGCACCAATCGGAAGTCAGAACGGCGGCGACCGTTTGGAACTGGTCTGGTAAGACATTGTGCCAGGGGCTCTTCTCGCCATTCTTTACTTTTCTTCGTGCCATATTTTCCCGCCCGTTTAGACTTTCCCGCGCCCCCACTATCTGCCCCTGGGTCTCCGAGCATGCGGCCGACCAAGAGGAGCCCTCAATGCGAGCGGAGCCCCTTGCCAAGAAAATTTGGTAATCTATCCATCCCAGAAAATTTGGTTATAACGTCAGCGTACGCCCGCCCGTACACTCTTTGGGGTTGGGGGTAAAAAACTCAGTAGGGTAGGGAAGAGAGTCCCAGACATGTACGTTGTGATTCGTTTTAGGCGCAAAATTAACCATTGGAGTTGCTCGAGTAAAAATCTAGATTGAATTTTTTGGCCACGCGACCAGCTACGAACTTACTCATTTTAAGAAAATGGTACGGGTTTGAAAAACTAAATCACTATTATTTTGTTTAAGATACGACTTACTGATCGTGTTTTGAAGGCAAAATCTATAACTTTCATTTTCATAAGAATGATGTCACTTGACCTTTTAGTGCAAATGGCCTACTGTTTATTTGGTTTTTCGTCGAGGAAAGTGTCGCGAAGGTGCGGATCATTATACGTCTCTGGGAAAGTGCCCACCTACCTCTCCCCTAAGCCAACATTAACACTTACTTCTCAATCAGGGCAAAATTTTGGCTTAGAGGAGGGGTAGGTGGGCAGTTTCCAGAAACGTATAATGGTCCGTTCATGCAGCCTCTTATGGCGGACTACAGAAAAAATTTTTTCACATTTCAAATTTTTAGTCTGTGTGTTCTTCCAAAATGCGACAGCTGATTTTATTACAAAGTGCGATGGTCTGTTATTACAAAGTGCGACAGGTATTACAAAGTGCGATAGCTATTACAAAGTGCGACAGAACAACGTTTCAATAACGTAGAGTTACCCAAATATGGTTACATGCATGTGGGTACGTAAAAGACGTACATGGAGCTGTGGAATTTTCCTGTACTTTGACTACAAAAGGGATAGAGAGGAGCAACACGCTAAGACTCTCTTAGTGTTCTTTTACCGCTGAGTAGATTGCAGTACTGTTAAAGATCACTCATACTTTGTGGAGATATATTTATTTGTATCGCCATGTTTCCATTCACATATTTTCTTCACCTGAGGCCACTCGCACTGAAAATGCGCAGAACGTGTGCCATTTATTTCGTTGCACAGACTATTGAACGTTGGTTATTTTTATTGTGTTGGTTTCGAAGTTGCCTACTTCGATGCTACTTTTTACCCCTTTCCGAAAAACTGACAACTAAACTTAACCTCAGAATCCTCCTATGCTTATCGCCAAACTCACTAACCTCATTAACATTTGGATATTTCTAGTATACCTCTTACTGTTAATGGAAATTACGCTTAGTTTCAACAGGGCAGTTTATCCGATTAATCAGCTTTGAGCTAAAACGTAAAAACTAGCCGATACCTAGCCCAACCTATTGTCACTAACGCATTAAAACTAACCAAGTCAGTGCAGCACGCACAAAGTCTCGTGCTTTTTCGGTGCTCTCTGGCAGTTTAACCTCGAGGGGTTTACTGCCAATGCAGAACATGGCTGCCTGTGGTTCAAGATTCCTCAAAGGGGGATCTCCTGTCAGCATTTCTACTACAGTACAGCCAACACTCCTAAAAGCAATATATATGAGACTTAGTAAAGCTCCTCCTTAATTACAACAATCGATGTCTGCCATTCAATCCTGAAGAAAACGATCCCCCAAAATAACAGAAAACAATACCTATTGTTTTCGAATTGGACCCGCTTTTATTAATACGAAGTATAAACTAAGGTCTGTCTCTTACTAACAACAATGTAAGATTTTGTGACTAAGTGTATGCGAAAAAAAAAACGAAAGACCAAATTTGAGAAGAGGAAAAGATGATTTGGAGGGTATCAAGTGGCAGTAACATTTGCTTTGAAAACTCGAGTCTTATCACCAGGACAAATGAGATCCGTAATCAGTCCGCGCTTATTTATCATTTTTATGTGAACCTTGACTCATTCGGAAGGGGTTAGGGAAATAAAAAGAAATTGCTAGTAATTAGTTACTGAAACTCAACGAAATCCAGCTAGTTGTAGTTCTGTTCTCGGGACATACCAGATGTCTACTTTTCGCCCGTATCCTTTTCCCCATAGGATCTCCGGTGCCATCCAGTACGTAGTACCAACATAGGATTTCAGGTCTGTTTTAGTGCCAATTTTCTAGTTATACAAAGACGAGAGAGAATAAGAACATTCAACAAACAAAACATACAGTTATCACCTGTACGATGACCCAAATCGATCAAGGGAACCGACATTCAATCAGAGAAGTCAAAGAGGCTGTGAGCCACACAACTCATAAGGATCTCGAAGATCACAAACGTTAAAAGGAGGACTGATCAGGAAGTCGATAAGTATCCAAACTGCCATAACACTGGCACAGACGGATATTATAATAAAAATAATAATAATAATAATAATAATAATAATAATAATATTAATAATAATAATAATTTTATTAACAACAATGCTAACTATTAAAATCCTATTTACAATTTATTCGCTTAAAAAAAGAAAAACTATTCATTCAAAAACACTTTACAATTCCTGTCGAATGAAAAAGCACTTAATTTAGCTTAAAAAAAGTTAATGTAACTAAGAAAAATTTTTTCGAATTAAAAACATTTCATTTCAATAATAAAAAAAAACTGTCAACCTCTAAAATTCAAAAGTTTCTTTCAACTGCTAAAAACAAAAAAATAGTAATAATAATAATGAAATAAAAAGATATACATGAAGTAAGGAAACACATCAATAGTCCGATTTAATGGCTCCTTCAACAACTTCGACGTCGATATCAACATTCTTAATGTCACATGGCACTCTTCTTGTCCTAGAGCCTCGAAGACAAACCAACGCAGATCTCAAGAGTGCGAATGAGGTTCTGGTTCTGATCCATGAGATGGTTTTGGCATACTGCTCCCCTTTTTTGATGGCAATCAGCTGTGCTAAACGGCTATGATACATCAAGCACTCCTTTCCCATTCCGCCAGTTGTGGTGAAGACCAAAGGTGTAAATGTTCCATGCTCGATGTCCAGGACTCTCTTTGAGTAGAGACGCTTTTTCTCGTTCTCATGGATACGATAAATTTGTTGTGGCTCTAGGTCCCTATACGATACAGCATTAGGGTGACAGACCCTCACATCGAAGAATGCTAATCGATGTCGCTCCCAGAAACCACGCGCGTGGATATCTAACCTGGCATCCTGAGCTTTGTTAGATCCTCTGTTCAAATGTTCTCCGGAGATGTCTTGAAGTACTGGCTCGATCTCGACATCGCTACACACCATACTCAGAAATTCAGCTTCGAGATCTCTTAGCTCGTTGTGGCGTTGAGTAATAAAACCTCCTAGTTTACAAATCATAGAGTGATCAACCGTAAAGGCTTCCCCACAAGCACATGTGGAGGGGATATCTTCCACTGGCCAGTCGTAGCGTAGTTTCACAGCATAATAATAATAATAATAATAATAATAATAATAAAACTTTTCAAGCTCAAAATAACTAAGCATTCTCCAGCTAATATTTTATTCAGCATTGGGCTGAAGGAGGCGACCTCTTAGGTCCGTTAAAAAAGTTTATTGCTTTGGGAGAAACAGTGCTAGTTCTTTCTCGGGCTCACAAATGTCTCACAAAAGAAGGCTCAACCGTTGTAAAAAAAATTCTTATTTAAACTTTGGAAACTGACAAAATATGCCTGAAATGGTTACTATCAGCTTGACGTCTTTTTATATATTCTGTAACTTGGTGAGTGTATCATTGGCTTTATGTGATAAATTTAAACGTACATTATATTTTGAGGGGGAAGCGCTCTTTGAGTCAAGAACACAATGGAGGTACTTTGTGATGATGATGATGATTTATTTAGTTACTATTTCGTTATTTTCACAAGCTGCATTAATTTTAGTGCCACATTCAAAGCGTACGCCTAAAGGATGGTTAACATAAAATCGTCACTTGTCACGAAGAGTCATCCACAATAAAGCGTTTTCTGGTGAAAAAAAATCGTGGAATAAGACTTTTGATATTTATCAACCAAAGACTTACGGAAAATGGTATTCAAAGCAATTTATAATAACAAGAAATTAAACCTGAACTGTCTCCACAGCATATGAGGAAACGTTTTGATAATGTTATAATGTATACACCTTCTCAGTTATTATTATTACACCTGAATTGTTCTTGAGACACCAAAATCAGCCAGTTTCACAGATCTGTCGCTGTCCAAAAGTACATTCGGTCCTAGCAAAAATAAAGATGACACTGAGAAGAAAGTTACGGTGGGCCGATGGGCAAAAAATTCTTAGCACAGGAACTAAACGCACCAATCACCAAAAACCACGGTCTTTCTAAC